AAAATTGATTAAAATGGGCAAAATATTTGAACAGATATTTTACAAAAGAATATGTATAAATGGCAAATAAGCATGAAAAGATATTCAATATCATTAGTATTTAGGGAGATACAAATTAAAACCACCTGTTAGAATGACTAACCTGATAATACCAAGAGTTGGTAAGGACTTCAAAAAACTGGAACTCACATATTGCTAGTGGGAATATAAAATGATAGAAATACTTCAGAAAAGAGTTTGGAAGCTTCTTAGAAAGTTAAATACATGCTTACATATGACCCCAAAATTCTACTCCTAGATATTTACTCTAGAGAAATGAAGACAGATGTTCATGTGAAGGCTTGAATACAAATGTTTATCATAGCTGTGTCCCTAGGCCTAATGCACCCAAACTGAATAAACATGGATGTCCATTAACAGTGGTGGATGAAGAAATCACGAAATATTCATATGAGAAATCCTACTCAGCAATAAAAAGGAATGAACTATTGATCATACATTATGGATGAATTTCAAAATATTATACTGAGCAAAAGAAGCCAGACACAAAAGAGTACACATGTATGATTCCATTTACATTAAACTCAAGAAAAGACTAATCTTTAGGGACAGAAGCAAATCAGTGGATGTCTGGAGTGAATGTGTACATGGAAGATTGAATGAGAAGGGGCACGACAGGAACTGTTTTGGGTGATGGAAATGTTCTGTACCTTGACTGTGGTAGTGGTGACACAGGTATATATATTTTTCAAACCTTATAGAACTGTACAATTAAAATGCATTTTATTTTACATATAAAATATATGTACAATTTTATCGCACATAAATTATACCTTAATAAAGTTGACTTAAGTGAAAAAAAATTGAATGAGTGAAACGTTTACATTTTTTTCTTCTCGAAATATTCCTTCCTTTTGGACTTCCACAGGCAACTCCACAAATCAACTTGGTGAGTAAAATAGCTGTGTGACACTGGACAGGCAAGTTCCTCCATCAGTAAAATCAATTAATTAGATGACTTCATTCATTCATTCATTCAATCAACACTTATTAAAGCCTTCTATGGGGCAAGCATTATGCTAGGTTTCAGAGACATAAAGCTGAAAAAAGAAACCAATTATGTCCTCAGGGAGTCACAGTCTAGTGGAAGAGAAAGACAAGCTAACATGATTATAATACAGCTTATGTTTGTTTAGGGTTTGAGGAGGATTCATGAGAGAAGTCTTCCCTGACGATGCAACACCTGAGTTGGGTTTTGAGGTACAAGTAAGAGGCAAAGAGGGAAGAGAAGGCATTCCAAGCAGAGTGAGCTGTATGAGCAAATGGATAAAGGCAAAAGATGTACCTTGTGTTAGGTACTTCCAGTTGTTTAGTAGGTCTGGAACATAAGAATTCATCCTTATAAGGTCATGGTTGTGTCTCGGTTGGAAGAAGTCAAAAAATACTACTCTAGTTGAGCAGAGTGTAGACAGGGGGTCTGTACCCAATAATGATACCCCAATTATAGTGGATCACCTAAAAGGAAAATAACTACCATCAGCTGGGATCCTTTCAGTTGCAAAGAAAACTTTTAGGTCATGTAACAAAATGGTCCAGGGGTAGACTGGTGGAGTGCGATCTGGGGAGCAGCAAGGACAAAAGAGTAGCCTTTCACTCTCTCCATTTCTAGGCTGCAGCAGTTACCGACTCTACATCCTTTCTTTTTCATATCCAGCTTCCCTGAAAGATTAAACCAAAGCTTAGTAATCAAGTATCCTTAGCTCTCACTGGCCTTAGATTTTACACGTATCCTGAAACAACCCCTGTGGCCAGAGGCATAGTACATGGTGACTGCTTGGCCAGGACCTAAAGATGCTGAGGGTAGAAGTCAGCCTCACCTGAAGCACATGGGGGAGGGGTAATCTGAAAATAAAAATCAGAGCCTTTGTGGAAGAAGGAAGACTAGATACAAAGGAGGAATTATGTTTTAAGAAAAACGAATGCCAAAAATTTCTGAACAAGTCAGGAGATACACATATGAACAAATTTCTTCTTCTATTTTCCACATCCAGGATGAATCAATGAAAATTACCTTGAGAATAAAGTGACATAATAAGAATATATATACAAAAAAACTATCACTCAGCACTATAAGGACCACAAGAATGGATGGACAGTTTTATGAGAACAAAGAGAAAGAGGAATCATTAATTCTAATTTATAGGCTCCATGGTGTCTTCACAACTGATAGGATTTTTGAGTGAGGCCTTGAAAAATAGAGAAGATCCTTCTGGCAGAGACAAAATGAATCTCCATAGCTGGTTGAGGCTTAGCATGGAACCTGGTGAGGCTGAAGTGAAGGATGATGGATCAATGTGGGAACATAGGAATTGACAGACCAAGCTGTGAAGAATTTTTCCCACTACGCTATGGAGCCTGGCCTTTATCTTTTAAGCAATGGGGAGTTGTTGATTTTTTTAAGCATAGAAATGACATGACTGAATCTGCATTTAGAGAACTATAGAAATAGACTAGATACAAGAAGACTTGAGACAAGAAGAAAGGAGATAAGTATGGGGAGGTAAAGCTAAATTTTGCAATAGAAGGCTGATGGTCTCTACTTTCCCTGCAAAATAGCGGGAGAGAACACATGCTGAGTGTGAGGGGGTGTTATGCAGTTAAGACAAGCTGGAAACTTCAATTAGCCAGAACACAGCATTACCAAAACATTCTGATCAAAAAGATTATTCAGTAAACTCCCTCATAATATAAAGTCATAAAATATTATATTAGTGGGTGAACTGAAATCCAGAAGAGCCAAATACAATTTGCCTATTAAACTATTTCACCATCAATGCCAATGGCCATAGGTAGAATAATTATGAGAGTACCACTGGTCATTCAGATCCTTATGCTCCCTGGCAAAGCAGATGTGAAAGGGGTGTCAGGGGTTGGTAGGAGATGGCACAGGAGGATGCAAGAGGAAGGAAGCCAAGTGAGGGGGTGTGGGGAGGTGTGGTTAAAGATGGAGTGCGCGAGGCAGCCTGAGTGCTCGATGCAGTATTTCAATAAGCAGCCAAGACTAGCACATGGCAGAGAGAGGTCTGTGGTAGCAGCACAGTGTGTGGCAGGTTTGACTATGGGATTTAGATTCAGAACTACTGCCTAGAGCCGCCTACTCCAAATGAAAGGATCTGTTACACCATGGTCCCTTCATTTTTGATAGACATGGTGTTATCAGGTAAAACAATATACATGGTAATGAAGCTGAGCATTCTTGATATATTATCTTCAGCCATTTGAGTTAAAATCTCATATACAAAATTAATTACCAACAATATCTTACATTTGTTTGGTGCTTTGTTTGCAGTTTTAAAAAGCACTTTCAAATATAGTATTTTCCCATTTGCTCCTGTACAACCCTGCAAGGTAAACAAAGCAGATACCATAATTTCCTATAGTCTGTTGCCCTCTCCCCACCAAATTACAGATAAAAGAGATTAAATTATCTAGATATATATTTTAATAGCTAGGAACAGAATTCCCCAGACTAGAATACTAGATCACTACACTGCCCCTTTTAAAAAAGTTTATGAATATTGTCCGGAAGAAGCCAAAGATGGGCATATCTCTACACATTTGACCCAAAGCATTTAAAACTCACTCTCTTCCTAATATTTCTGCAGTTTCTCAGAGTGGGGGGAGGAGGGAGACAATAGCCATGAGTGTGTGTGTATCTTCTTAATTAACATACATTTTACACACATAAAATGGCAAAGCATATGATTATAACTGTATTACCTTCAAAAGCAATAAAAAGAAGCTTATTAAGACTCAATCACAGAATAAATCATTATTTGGTCCTTAGTAGGTCAATAAGTACCTGATGAATAATAAAAGTATATAATGTTGATTTTCAAATTAATAAGCTAGTTATACCAAACTCCACCACACTTGAAGTCTTATGCTAAACCACACACTTTTTCTAATATATAATACCATCAAAGTAAAAGACTGATGAATTACATTTGGATAAAACTTAATAAAATTGTAGGCAATCAATAAGAATACCAATCTATTGATTTAGAGTTTTAGTAAAGTGATCAGCATCTTGAATTTGAATCTAAAATCAAAGGACAATGGTTTTTGGCCTTTTTTTTATGTACTATTATTCCATATTACAGAAACAGTAGGTCTTTAGGAAATGATATAAAATAAGACCACTTATACCAAAGAGCAATATAAGATTGATGCCTTGCATAACATCTTCAGTTCTAGAATGAATGTCCACTGCCTACTTCTAGTCTCTCTCAGTGCTCTGCCCAGAAGTAAATCTTGTGAAACCAAGCTTCTGCGAAAGTAGATGTGGTCTTGACTTCATTCCCTTCACTCCTTTGGGTGTCCTCTTTGTATATTTCCAAAGTAACAGAATCTGGCAACAGGCCTCAGCAATGTCAAGCCTTCTAAGCAAGAGACAGAAGGTTGAGAAGTGAGAAGGCATCACCCCATAATTTTATGACTTTCAGAGAGTGAAGAATAAAATATTTTCAGATAGAGACAACTGCATTTGACTTCCCCAGTAGAAACATTTAAAGTGAGAAATAAAATGGAAAGGGATATAAAAAAATCTCTGGGGAGTGAAAAGTTGCTAAAAACACCAAAGTACATTTGAATTTCTTCTTAGAAGCATTATCGTTTTCAAGTCTTCTCACATCCTACCCCTGCCCCTGGCTCTGAGTGAAAAGCAATTTATAAGACAAAGCAATACATTAACTAGAGAAAAATTTATAAACTAATGTAAAAGAATTGTGCAAGAATCTACATTACCTCTTGAAGTTTATTATAGTATCTTTAGTTCTTAGTGCATATATTGTTACATGCCTTTTACAAGTCAGGATTATATATATAGTATGCTCAGTTTAGCAGAAGTTATGTTTATTGCTTCTTTCTTGAAAATCAGCAGCATGCAATGCAATATTTGGTGTGAAGTTATTTTTTCAAAAAGTGAAAAACCACTTAGGTTTAACTGAGGAGGGAACATGATCTTTATTGGCTTATATGCAAAGTTTAATTTTGGTTTTATGCAGAGTTTGCATAGTTCATGATTAGTTTCTAATGAAAAACTAGATTTGTTGTCAGTGACCTTGAAGAAGATCAGGTGACAGTAGCAAACAGAAAAATCTGAAGAAGAGGCATAACTTTTAAAGTAGAAAGGTCAGCAAGAACTGCCTGAAACAAAAAACAAAAAGAATTATTAATAGCAAAGTGAAGTCTATGAAATATGGTACAACAGAAACACCATCATAATGTAATTTTGGCATCAACACATACTCTAAGTTCTTTGGATTTGTCCTAAATCTTTGTACTACAGTTATAACTTTCCTTCTTTTTTCTCAATATATTAATGTTAGTACATGCACAAAATGCTAAAACATGTAGTAGAAAATAACCTGGACTTTATCCTTGAGCCTTCTTCAAATATACAAGGTAGCATGAGTTTATAAGAGGTCTAACATTTCAACTTGCTTCTATAAATAAACGTACATTATGAATCTTAGTCCCGTTATTCTAGTGTAAGGAGTACTGCAGGAAATAATTTTGAGATGGAACTAATGTTTATTCAGTTGCAAGATGCATAAACATCCTCTTCCCTTTAAACAAAGAATGTAGGCAGCTATTTTAAGAATAAAATTTACATTTCTACGAGAGATAACAAATAGAGTAATAAGGTAAGCACTATTTAATTGAACCATATTTTAGATATAAATGATACCATTAAAAAGAAATCAGCTTTAAATAATTGACTCACAATTAAAAAGAACCACTATGTATCTTTACTACATCATCCAAACACATGCTCTCTCAACACATCATGTTCTGAGAGCATAATGCATGGATGTGAGCAATAATAAGGAAGTCCCAGTAGTTCCTATGAAAATTACTAGGTATCTGGTTTCCCATAATGGTTATGATGGTTTCCTATAATAATTTTGTTTATGATCCCTTCATAAGAAGATTGTTTTCAAGTAATTAAGGAAATTTGATTACTTAGCTTGGAACTTACAGGTTTTACCCGAGTTAAAAATTTTGGCTACAAGTAATGTGTGTCCTATGCATCAGACACTAAAATGAGTGAGCCTGGCAATCTCTCAGGAACTATTTCCATCCCATCTGAGTGAAACTTATCCTTACTTCAGCTGCGGCCAGTGATGTCACCTCCATCAGGTTCACTGCTCGGAAAGCAAACACGGCAGCTGCCAGGACTGGAAAAGAATGAACACTATTTCAACTGCTGGCCTACTTATCAGCCCGGCAGAGTTACTGCTGTGCCCACAGCCCGCTACATGAAAGCTCAGAACTGAGGTTTATATGACTGACCACACCCCACATTTTGAGTTAAGGGTCTAGTGATGAATGGAAATTCTCTACTCTACAAAACAGTTCTTGATGGCTAGACAAACTGAATACCACAGTTGTGGGAAAAAGAAAAAAATCAGTGGCCTTTAAAAAGCCATTTTATAAATTGTTTCTTTATTATTTACTACTTAAATTATAACAGATTTAACATGGCATGAAGATCTAATGACTGTCTTGTAAATTCAGGTTTATTTTGATACAGGTATTTCTTACTAATGCAATGGAGAGGCTCCTGAAAAGTTATACAAAGACCAAATTTTTAAATATATCAGATCACGTTTTATATGTATTAAAGAAGTGTCCTGATAGAATCATGGATTTAAAACCTTTTCTTAAAAAATATTTTTATATTTTGTTATATTGACATTTTTATATGCAACATTAACTTTTTTAGAATGTCACAAATGGATATATCTGTGGGGAGGGCTGCTGTGGGACTGATCATGACATTTACAATGATGTTTACATCATTTACAATGATGTTGGCTACAGGAAAGAGAATTTGAAACTTTGAAAAAAAATCATTATAGAAGAACTTGTAGGTTAATAATATATATTAAGTAGAAAACGACACTTGAATTATTGTTTCCATTAAACATATGCATATCAAAGAAGAGTAATGCTAGCATGCAATACTTACATAAACTACTATAAAACTCCTTGTGAAGGAATGAGTCATGAACAACAGAAGGACCCATGTAAGAGGCAGGTGACACTGATAAAGAAATGGTACTGCCTAGAAATAACTCTTGACTTCTCCCTATTTTTTTTCCATCATCAGTGATGGTAGTGTATTCCCTAACAATGAATCACTGAAGTTTAGGAAATTAGTAGTAAGAAATATTCAGAATTATTTGGAAGATCAGTTCCCAGGTATACTGCACATCTACTGCAAACATATATTTTAAAAAATACATTTTATAATGGGAATAATAATGGCAATCAATTCTCACACCAACTGTATGAGTTAAATACTATTAATAGTCCATTTTACTGATGTAGAAAATGAAGCACAATGAGTTGGGTGACATGTTCAGAATCGCATAAGTAGAAAATAGCAGAGCCAATACTCAACCCTGGTTTTGGAGCCTGTGCCCCTAACCACTACGTGAAAACACTATTAAGGTAAGCAGTAATGACTCATCCCTGAAGTGAAAATCTGTGTGCTTTCCTAAGAATCATCTCCTCTGCTGTTCCTCAGAATGGTTTTCCAGAGAAAGCATGAAGGATGATGTTATGGTGGTCCTGGGCTCTGACACATAAGTAGTTCTGGAGTAGAAGTCAGGAGCCAGACCTCTTAATTTCCCCAGATAGAAGCAGAGTGCAACCAGTGACTCAGAAGCACAGGTACTTTCTAGGCGATACGGTGGCAAAAAAAACACATTAGAACTAATTAGAGAGAAAACATCTGGAGAGAAAAAGATGGTAGTGGTAAAATTTAAAAAGTCAAGTCAGCTGGAATTATTCAGTATGTAACAAGAGATATGAGAGATCCAGGACAAAGAATTTACTCTTTAACTGAAAAGGAGAAAACATAAGTACTTTAAAGTTATTTTAAAGTCATGTAATTCATGATTACAAGAATGTCATAAAATAATTTCTGTGGACCAGCAATTTTTTGCAGCTTCCTCATATCTGGAATCATATTTTATATAGTGGAGACATTTGAGAAACTAAGGAATATAATCACTACTTCCTTTTTTGTGTATAATTGAACAGAGTCACTGGAACCTTAACAGGCTGACCAAATACTCTGCTGGGGCAGGAAAGAATTTTACATAGTGAGAAACTGTTTTTCCAAGGGTAGATAAGAGAGGGGAAAAAGAGAAGTTCACTAATTGACCTCAGCATCCAAAATGCTTATGTGGTCATAACCTTTATTTATCTTGGTGTCACATCACAGAAGTTCCTTTCTGTCTGCTTCATGTTTGGTTTGCCCAGCCCTTCCGCAGAACAGGTTTGTTTGCCAAAGAGAAAAGATCTATACTTTGGGATATTTTCAACTGAAATTTTGTTTCATATGAAATGTAGAAACTCTATCTTCTTTTGGTCTTTTAAACTATTCTCATTACTTTAATTCTAAGCAACTCTATCATGAACATTGACACTTTTGCTTTAAAATGTTCTTCAAAAGGCTCTAATTCACAGTTAAAGTCAGTGATATTTATTAAAATATTTCTAAAGACTATAAAATAACTCACTTGATCAAAAAAGGTGGTCCTAAAGTACTCATATCAAAAATGTATGAAATAATCAAAACTAATTTTTACACATCTAGATGAAATTATCAACCTCGTGGGTCATTATCTGAATCCCATAGTAGGAAAGTTTCCATCAGTCTAGTTCTATTTCTAGATGTTCTAGAATTTTTCCCTGTTGATTTTTAAAAAGCACTGAGGGAAAGTAAGTGGATGTAATAATGTGAATTACATTTCTACCTCTTTATCAGTAAACTTTTTTATTAATATGTTGAGCTCATAGCAAAGTGCCTGGTTTAAAGCAAATACAGCATTCAGTATACATTTATTTCTCTTTTCCTTCAGTTTGCTTAAGGGCAATAAGGCACGGAATAGAGAATTTAAATTGGAAGAGGCCTTCAAGGTTTTCTAATTCAACATTTCTTTCAAGGTACAAAAGCTCTTGACCCTTCAGGAGACAAAGAGCCCATTCTACTTTTGGAAAGGCCTAATTATTAGAAAGTACTTTCTTATATTGAGACCCCTTCTTTAACATGCATTAATGTATTTTAAAAATGTCACCAAATGTTATATACAGTACTCTTCAAAATTTCTGGCATATCCAGAGGAAAGTTATTTGGTGGAAAGTCTAAAATCCTGTCACTTGACAAATGATAGCAGAAAACAAGGCTACTTAGCTTAGAAAATAGAAGACTCTGGGGAGAAGTGGGAATGTGAGAGTAGAAAAAACATGATAATGACCTTGGTTTATCAGGAGTACATTTTAACAAGCCATGTTATCCAGAAATGAAATGGGACACTTGAGAAGATAGGGATTACTTAACACTGAAGTGTTCAAACAAAGGATGAGGACTGCTTGTCAGAAATGTTTAAAATACATTGTACCTGAAGCCCTCTAGGATTCCTTCTACCTCTAGATTATATATATATCACTGCCATTCAGACAAAAAAAATGAGGGCAGACATTCTTTCCTAACTCATATTTGTATGGGCTTAAAAAAAAAAAAAAACTGAGAGAGAAGGATGCTAGGAGTTATCAAAAACGTTAGTCAGTGATCTCTCTGATTACACTAGGGGTGACATTTATCTTCATGGTACTTTATTATTACTGTAGTTTTCCCTTTCAAAATGCCACCCAATTACTATATACCTCTCAGCATTCAAGAATAGGTTAATGTAGCACCTACAGAATCTTCATATCTCATTCTTCTTCAACTAAACCTTATTTCCACAACAGCCTAGACAGGTGATTTTACAATATCCATTTAAGGTAAGGAAACATTTTACCAACTTTCCTGATCTCCATCTATTATTGTGAAGATATCATAATTATTATTTGAATTTCCTGATAATATCAATGATAAAAATGACTGGTTTTACTGTGCATACAAGAAGCAAAATAATATATTAATAAGAAATATGTGCCCTGTGTATTATTATATAATTGCCTTGGGTATATATCTGTTGTAAGAACTGCTTAAATATAAAATAAGAGATGAATCTGTGGCTTCCTGAAAAAAAGATAAAATGTTTTTTGGCCTGAGAGAATACCTAAAAGGGGAAATTCAGTGACCAGGGCAGAAGTCAAAGACTAGGAAAAAAAAAAAAGAAAAAACTTTTATTTATTTATTTTTTATTTTTTCTTGAGACAGAGTTTCGCTTTGTTGCCCAGACTAGAGTGAGTGCCATGGCGTCAGCCTAGCTCACAGCAACCTCAATCTCCTGGGCTCAAGCAATCCTGCTGCCTCAGCCTCCCAAGTAGCTGGGATTACAGGCATGTGCCATTATGCCCAGCTAATTTTTTCTATATATATTAGTTGGCCAATTAATTTCTTTCTATTTATAGTAGAGACGGGGTCTCGCTCTTGCTCAGGCTGGTTTTGAACTCCTGACCTCAAGCAATCCGCCCGCCTTGGCCTCCCAGAGTGCTAGGATTACAGGCTTGAGCCACCATGCCCGGCCAGGAAAAACTTTTAGATTCAGTATGCACTGAGGTCCAGAAGGGTTGAGATTTCAGCTATGTGAGGATACTCAGTTCTCAGTTTAGATTTTAGATACTTGAGAATAGGCACAGAACAGAACACTAAGGTAGTCAGGGGAGTCAAGAGTAGAATGAAAGTGTATGTACACTCCACTGCACAGACCTCACAGAGGCTGAGAGATAGCGAGCCCTGCTGGACTAAATTAGGGGAGGACAGGGGAGGGGAAAGGAGAAGAGGGAAAATGAGCTTTCCTGGGAGCCAAGAAGAAAAACTAGGAATAGATTGGTGTTGGGCAGTTAGATAGAAGTATCAAGATCATAGAACCTCAGTACTTGTCCTCAAAGCCAGATAAATCTATTAAAGGAATATGAATTAGAAATGAAAAATAACTATAGACTCAAACTCCAATTACAGATGGTAAATATAAGAAGAGGGGGCTTTACTGTAGGAATGTCATGTGTTTTACAGCAAAGCATTTACTCTTACCAGCAAGAATTTCCAGAGAGTTGTATCCGAGGATTCTATCCCACAAAAGCAAGAGTTGATCTGTAGCTAAGTATCCAGAGAAAGCTCGAACCATCCACTTAAATGATATGCGAAGTCTGTAAGCAAAGAAGAATGAAAATTAATTCATCACTGGAATTTTTTCTTATCAAAAGGCAATATCAGAAGAACCCAACCAATTCTATTGTTAAGGTAGCTCCTTTGAGAGTCTTAGATATCACCTGGGCATATAAAACTCAAATAGTTTCTTAAAAGCTACAAAAGTGCAGTGGTAAGAAACCATAAGTCCTCAAATTAGTGGTCTTAGAGTATTAATAAGAATTATATATGCTGGGCTCTCCTTTGTGTTAGAGTTCAGCCTTTATATTACTCATTTCTACATTCTGTTTTTCAGAGTATGTACTAATAAGCTATCAATAAACTGATCTTCTAATAATCTTAACAATTCCAGGCAAGCCATAACAATTTGAATTTTTTTTCAAAATACTGGAAAGAATGTTCAACGGCTTCATATTTTTTCAATTTAATAAATTATTTTTCTATATTTCAGTCAAATGGCTACATAGGATAAATAAAATTAATATAACTAGTAGGAGTTTTGAAGGACAAAGAAAAATAGCTTTAAAGCTATGAGATCTTAGAAATCGATTTCTGATTTCAAACCCTTCATTTTAGTGAGGAGGTCAAGCTCTGAAAGATCAACCAGAAAATTCAATTGAATTCCATTTTGCAGAAAAAACATAACAAAACAAAACTCTAAGATGTGTGAGATCCCACTATTTATAAGTAGATTATGTTACAATAACAATTTATCATTAAAATCAGGAAATGAACTTTTCGGCTCTGGTTCTTTAACAGATAAACTAGTCCCTCCATTTCTGTTTTATCTATTAGCATCTAAAAATCCCTTAACTATCTGTGAGAGGAGCTAGCCAAACACTTTGCTGGAATTGTTATTATGTTGATAAATAGCACAGCTATTTTCTCTTAAAGAGAAAAAGGGACCCAGAGATTTCCTTAGTATCATTGTGTTAATTCTCTTGACACTGAAAAAGATTCCAAGTTTTAGAAATTCCTAAATACTGGATCACTATTGTTTTAATATAACAAAATATATGTGAGCAGTAGTATTGACAAATTAAGCTTTTTTGGTTGGCTTTAGATATCTCTTTATAGATGCAAAAGAAACTTTTGGCACTGAATATTTTAAAACTTAAAATGCATTTGACTTTTAAGTCTAAATTGTTAACTTCAACTAGTTTCATTTTACTCAAATTCTCAGTATCACATTAGAGGAATAGTACTATACATCCCCATCCCTAGATATATAAACAGTGCAGCATCAGTTTTTAGAAATAAGTTTATTAAGGTATAATTTACGTATAGTAGTGCTCCCCTTATCTGTGGTTTTGTGTTCTGCAATTTCAGTTACCCATCAGTCAACTATGGTCTAAAAATATTAAATGAAAAATTCCAGAAATAACAATTCAAGTTTTAAATTGTGTGCTGCTCTGAGGAACATGAGGAAAACTTGCACACTCCCCACCCTGGATATGAATCACCCTTCTGTCCAATGTATCCATGCTGTAAATGCTACCTGCCTGTTAGTCACTTAGTTGCCACACAGGTTATCAGACTGACTGCCTTGGTATTCCAGTGCTTGTGTTCAAGTAACCTTTATTTTATCTAATAATGGCCCCAAAGTGCAAGAGTAGTGATGCTGGCATATTGTTATAACTGTTCTATTTTATTATTAGTTATTGTTTTAAATCTCTTACTGTGTCTAATTTACAAATTAAATTTTATCTTAGGTATGTATGTACAGGAAAAAACATAGTATATATAGGGTTTGGTACTATCTGTGGCTTCAGGAATCCACTAGGGATCTTGGAACATATTCCCCGAAAATAAGGGGGGAATACCGTATAGCAGAATTTACCCTTATTAGTGTACAATTCTGCGAGTTTTGTATGAAGAAGAATCAATTGGAAATTATAGAACTAAAAAATACAATAACCAAAAAACCACAAACCCCACAAAAATCCCTCACTAGATGGGTCCAATAGCAAAATGGAAATGCCAGAGGAAAGAGCCAGTGAAGTTGAGTACAGATCAATAGGAAATGTCCACTCTGAACCATAAAGGAAAAAAAATTAGAAAAAATATGAACAAAGCTTCAAGAACCTGTGGGACAATACCAAAAGGTTTTTTCCTTTTTCTTTTACACCAAAAGTTTTAACATTTGTATTATTGGAACCCCAGAAGAAAAGGAGAATGAGTAGGGTACAGAAAAAATATTTGAAGGAATGATAGATGAAAATTTCCCAAATTTGGCAAAAGATATAAACTTACAGATTCAAAAAGCTTAGCAAACCCTAAACAGGATAAATCCAAAGAAATCCATGTCTAGATACATCATAATCGAGTTGGGGAGATCTAAAAACAAAGATCTTGATAGCAGTCAGGGAAAAATAAGGATTCATATTAGTTCTTCCCGAAATGCTTGGTAGAATTTGCCAGTGAAGGCATCTAGTTCTGAAGTTTACTTGTAGGTAAAATGTGATTAATTAAAGATGTATATTATAAACTCTCTGGTACCTACCAAATACATGTTTTAAAAAAGTATAAATAATAATCCAATAGTGGTCATAAAATGGAATAAAAAATATTCAATTAAATTCAGGAAGAGAAAGATAAAAAAGGAATAAAGAGAACATGGTACAAATACAAAATTCTAGTAAGATAGATTTCAGTGCAATAATATTAATATATATTAGATATAACTGGTATAAACATATAAATACCAATTTAAAAAGACTGCCACATTAGAAGACCTAACTATACCTTTGACAAGAAATCCACTTGAAAAGTAAAGGCATTGATAATCAATATGTTAAAATAACAGAATAAAAATTATAATCAAAAGAAAGGTGAAATAGCTATATTAATATCAGACATACTAGATTTATTACTAGGAATAAAGAAGGACATTAGACAATAATAAAGGGATCAATTCTCCTAAAAACAAAGCTTCAAATACATAAAATAAAAACATATATAGCAATGAAGGAAGAAACAGACAAAATCCACAATTATAATTAGATACTCTAACACTTCTCCCTCAAAAGTCAATAGAAAAAAAAGTCAATAAAAAAGTAGTCAAAATATAAATGTATAGAAGGTTTGAAAAACATTATCAACAAACTTGACTTCATTAAGATTTATAGGACATTCTGCCCAACATTTGAAAACTACAAATTCTTTTTAAGTATATAAGAAATATTCACCAAGATAGATCATAGTCAAAAAAAAGCTCAACAAATTAAAACGACTGAAATCGTATGAAGCATGTTGTCTAACTGCAATGGAATTAAAATGTAAGTCAATAACAAAAAGATACATCTTTCTAAATATTTAGAAATTAAACATATTTTTATATAACCCATGTTCAGAGAGGAAATCACAAGAGAAATTATAAAATATTTTGAATTGAATGAAAACAAAAAGATAACATGTTAAAATTTGTTGGATGGAAATAAAGGGGTACTTTGAAAGAAATTTATAACATCAATGCTCATATTAAAAAAGAAGAAGAAAGCTCCTAAATTAATGATCTAAATTCCACCCTAAATGAGTAGAGAGATAAGAACAAAATAAACCTGAAGCAAGCAAAAAGAAGGAAATAATACATACAAGAGCAGAAATCAATGAAATTGAAACACAAATACAACAGAGAAAAATCAAAACTTTTTTTCAGAGATGAATGAAATTGATAAACCTCTAGCTAGAATAATGAAGAAAAAGAGAAAGACAATACAAATACTAATTGCAGTAATGAGAGAGGAGATGTTACTACTAATACTATAAATGTTAAAAAGCTAATTAAGAATAAGTAGGAAATGCTATGAAAAACTTTATGTCCATAAATATGATAACTTAGATAAAATGCATAAACTACTGAAGCTCATTCAAGAAGAAATAGATAAACTGACTAGTGCCATATCTATTAAAGAAATTAAATTCAAAATTAAACAGCTTCCAGCAGCACTGGGTTTCATTTATGAAATCCTTTTAAGAATTGATTTCTATGTTGACAACTGAAATTTTTAAACTTTCTCCTACATGAGAATTTTCATGTTTATCATAAATCATTACAATAAATTAATTCCTTTTAATGAATAAAGTATATAATAGGCTACAAAAAAAACAAAATTTTAGTTTCTAGCAATGAAGTGAATATTTTCCTCCTAATAAAGAAAAGCCTAGTGATACTCCAATGTTCATTTCACAATAGCCCCAAAGAGGTCAATTCACAAGTTAAGAAAAAAAGTCTTGTGCTACGTATAAAATATTTCTGCTACATTCTTGTTTTATATTCTTAATCATGAACAGAATTTTATTTTTAAATGGCTACAAAGAAAACAGTGTAACAGAGGGAATAGCCAGAATAAGGGTAAATCCTGCCCTACCAGCTCTTCTTGAGAATTAAAACCTGCATTCCTGCCTGAAATCAATGATCAGAGGGGTAGGGGAGTGTCCTTTGTTCTTTGTAATATAGGAGATGGCTCAATGGAATTGTCTGGGCAGAGCTCACTAGATTGTCCGTAAAGGAGATAGGGTGGATCAGGACCATCAACTATAGTTAAACAGTAATAGCCCCAAGCAAAAACTCCTTTTAAGAGCTCTGTATTTATAGAGGGGACTATGGTACTTTAAGACATGAGTCTGCCATCTTCCTCATTTGCTGGCAAATTAACAAATTTCTCTTTTCCTCAAACCACTTATCCTTGTCTTCTGATGCGGCCTCAGGGAAAAGTGCTAAACTTTTGGTAACAAGAGCATCAGCTCAGTATTATCAATGGATGATATGAAGTACTGTTTTATACAGGACATTTCTAAAATATCTGAAATTCAATGGTACTTTATAAAAAGGAGACATCTATCTCTCTATAATCATTTGATCTTATAACAACTCCATGAGTTGATTTTTAAGATAAGGAAATTGAATTACCTTGATTTAAAAATAAAGAAATTGAGGATTAGATAAATTAAATAATTTTACCAGGATTATGCAGCTTAACAGAAATGAAATTCGAATCTGGGTTAAATTTCCACACACTCAACCATCCATCTGCTATCGATTCATGTGTGGAGAAGACAAATATTACACTATTCTATTTCCCATTAATTCCTTTTGTGGCCTCAAAAAGTTCATGTTCTTTTCAAATATGCTCTCCTTAATAGGAAAAAATAGTTACAGAGGAGAAGGCAGGAACAAAACATTGGTAGATGGTAGATCATTTGGAAATTTCTGGTGCTATAGACACTGTTAGTTAAAAAGAGAAACAGAACCAATACATTGAAGTCCAAACCTAGTCTACATATTCCTCTATAACTCATACTGAGATCAATGAATAAAAATCAAACTTTAGGAAGGAAGAATCCCAGTGTACAACCACTGATAGATAGGTAATTGAGCTGGTTTACTTTAATAAAAGACAGCAAACTTTATAGATTTCAAAGGTGGTTCTCTAACAGATTTGGCCTAGGTTGACTTAATTTTAGTATTATCACATTTTTCAGGTATAATTTTTGTTTACACAAATATTTGCCTTGGTTTGGGCTAACATCTTTCATTATCCATAGAAATTAGTTCATTTTGGTGATTCTTGTACCAGACACAAAACCTAGTAAGTTCATTAGGATTTTGGTAATTCTTTTAATAATTTTTGGCACAATGTTGTTATAATTTATTACCTTATAAATATTGTTTTATTGGGGAAAATGTTAGCTTAATTTCTCTGAATAATTCCTACATCTATGCAAGTGTTTTACAATGATAAATAAAGAGCTTTCTGATATGAAACTACTCTTCAATTAGGAAAAACATACTTACGGTTGTGCCCCAATTTCTCGTAGATGATAAAAGAGCTGGGGAAGATAAGTTTGAAGAAGAGTTTCAAACAGCAAACAGAGTGACACAATACCCTGGATACAATAATGAATCATAAGAGAAATAGTTATTTTAGTATTTAAAATTAACTATGCCAACAAATTATTCAAATAGAAAATGAGAAAATACTATCAACATAAATATTCGTCATATTATTTAAGAGTCAGAAACAGGAACTGTACCAATGGATCTCTAACATTGTGTTTAGAGATCTATTTTGTCCCTCTTTATACATACTCACACTTACAGATATGCTAAAGGTTTCCTTTTTAACACAATAGGCTCCCCACATAACCTAGTATGTAACATTTGGAGAGTCCAAAGAAAACATCACTTTACAGAAAACCTCCTACTTTGCAAGCCACATATTATCATTTATGCCCAGCAAAGTTAGTTTTTCCAGTTTCCAGGTATTTCCCTAGTGCTATAGCCACACCCTTCACTCTCTCTCAATGTATGTTCCTTCCCCTCCAGCCTGTGCTCATTGGGGAAAATATTTCCTGCTTTTCTAGCCCTTTCTTTGAAATCTACCCCCAGGAAAAGACTGGCTGCTGACTGCTTAAAATTTACATCAGGAAGTTATCAAACAAGAATGTTTGATTACTTAGTATACACATAATTTTTTTTATTGAAATCTACTTTTTAAAAAGTATATTATCTGTAAAGCACAAGAAGTAACTGATTTAAACAGATGGTTTTTAAAGTACGTTTATTATTTGACAACTCTGAATAAAGTCTTTCTTGCAGCTCAGCATTCCTCAGAGTTGATCTTTGTAAGGAAGTTTTAATCCTCTTATTGAATTTCTAAAGAAATAAGGCTGTCAGGGTTCCAAATAGTTCAGTCTGGCTGCAAGCCAAAACAGGGATGACTGCCTGTAAGTCTTTGTTCCATTGAATAAAGAAAGGGCTGAGGGAGGCCTGGTTCAATCAATTAGCTGAAAAAGGACACCTCAGGGCCAGTATGGAGGGAGAGAAGGAACACCCGGAGCTTCCCAGTGTCAAGCTTCAGTGCTCTGCACAGGGAGAACACCACTGGTGTGTACTGTGCAACCAGTTTTCTGAAACTCTGAAGCATAAAATGATATAGAATGTACGAGTAAAAAATCTGATGCTAAGAATGAGATACTAGAAAATGAATACTAATTGTTATTAATATTTCTGATGATTCTAGATTAAACATTAAGAACTAAATCAAGTTCTCTTAGAGAGAAGAAACCTGCAATAATTGGTGGTCCTTTGCTTATATGTGACATTCTGGAATCCTGTTATTTGCCAACTTTTACTAGCAATGTAAAAGAAGAAAACTGTAGATGGAGGAAGATGGAATAGCAATACACAGGTTGAAACTGGAGGGATAAAGAACAGCTATTTATTATAATTTAGTAGCAATAACACAGTCTCTCCTTTAAGGAAATTTGGTAGCCCTGACATATATTCCAGTTGAATATTTCTTCTGGAGAGACAGTAAAGTTAACCACAAGTAGACCAAAGCAGGTCCAAAGGGGTGAAAAAGCACTGAAATAAAATAAACACTGCTCTTATTCAAGCGTATGGAAGGAAAAAAAAAGATATGATAAAGGAGTGCCCAAAATAAAACAGATAAAAATGCTTAACTCCCAATATGCTTTTCCTTGACTCATACTGAGGGCAAAGGAGGTTTGTATTGAATATATATTAATACAAAGAAAATATCTAGTATTGATATTGATGATATCAATATCAATTGATATTGATGATTGATATTGATGATATCAATATGATTGATATTGATGATAAATAATAATTAACCAAATATGAAATTGACAAACAAGTGGCAAATGTTTGATTTTCATTAACAAAGAAAGATGATGATGATGATAATTATAACAACAGCCATTTATTTACCAAACACTTGCTATGAGCCAACTAATAACTACACTGAGTGCTTTGTAGAAATCTCTACAGCGCTACAGATAATATATATTATTAACTTCATTTCATAGATAAGAAACCAGGAAAGAAGGTAGAGGCATCTTTGTCAAGGATAATAATACATTCTATGTTTTTTTCTTTTACTATATAAAAGATAATTTCAATGTAGTTGATACAGGACTTTTTCCTTTCTAATTATTACCCAAAATATCAATTCATCTTCTATTTATGCCATAAGAAAGAAAACATGTTGCTTAACATCACAAATTAAGATTTGTTGCTTTATAATTTAACTGAGAAGACTTTTTCTTAATGAAAAAAAGAACAGTTTAGAGCCTGATTTAATTCATTTTTTAATGAACTTACAGAAGGATGAGAAGAAATGGAATGAAGTCTGAAGAAAAAACGTACATACATCTCACGGAATATCTGATACAATTTGGAAGGTTCATGGTATAGAAAACAAAGTGGTGCAACTGAAAGAAAAAAATTAATTTATAATACTGCAGAACTACCAAAAATTTATGAAATATGAAAGAATACATCAATATTTTATAGTAATTACATTTATTCATAGACAAGTTTAAAACCATATCTACTTTTTCATTTTGAAAAGGGGACATATGTACATGTAAAATTCAAACAGCCATTAAATATTACAAAGAAAGTAGGATATTACAAACTATTGTAATTCCACTAAACAGCTAAGAATGACATAATGGAATTCTATAGAAATATTAAAAATTCAGAGTAACTTATAAAAACTACATACAGTCAAGTCTCTGTTTTTTTAACTGAAGTAGTAAGAAAGTGAAATCAGGCAACTCATTTTTACTTTGTCCCACAAAGGATTCAGCCCACTTTCTAAAATTTTTAATTTTGGAAGTCAGGTAAGTAAAATATAAAGTGATTTAGGCCGGGCATGGTGGCTCACGCCTGTAATCCTAGCACTTTGGGAGGCCGAGGCAGGCGGATTGCTCAAGGTCAGGAGTTCGAAACCAGCCTAAGCAAGACCCAGTTTCTACCAAAAATAGAAATAAATTAATTGACCAACTAAAAATATATATACAAAAAATTAGCCGGGCATGGTGGCGCATGCCTGTAGTCCCAGCTACTCGGGAGGCTGAGGCAGTAGGATCACTGAGCCCTGGAGATTGAGGTTGCTGTGAGCCAGGCTGATGCCACGGCACTCACTCTAGCCTGGGCAACAAAGTGAGACTCTGTCTCAAAAAAAAAAAAAAAAGTGATTTATAACTAACTTTTAGAATTATAGTCTTCAATTAGTTCAAATTAATTCATTTTGAAACTAAAACTTTTGAGTAATAGCCTTACACTATTCATCTATATTGGTATATCTCCATATATATCAGCTTTCATCGACTTAAAACAATCCAGACAGAGGATTTAGTTCTCTAATGAATGTAGAACTCACTTCTCTTTTGCCCACAATTCTTAGAAATTAAGCACAGGTGGGTCAACTCGACCAGCTATCCCACAGCTGGATGTCAGAAAGTCCTAGTCTTGGAGACCGAACTGACCACATGATTATTTTGCACTGACAAAGGTGGTCATACTTTCCATCTTTTCAAGCCTCAAGAATTTTGGGCAGTATAAACACATTTATAATGCTGCTACATAAAACTACATTACCTAGCTATTAATTTTAATGAAAATGCCTCACAAGGTAATTTCAAACAATATAAATTAGACAAATAAGAAGTTCTGAGGTTCTATAATCTGTCGATAATGCTCTGAGAGCAGTGGGTATTAAGTAAGAAGGGAAACCAGTAAGCCAATTTGGCACTCTTCTTTTTGAAAAAGTGGAAGGAAAAACACTAAAATATTTTAAATGCTTACAAACACAAAAGTTCAATTTTCTGGGATAAAGGGCAATGTCTGGTATTACTGATAAGTAAGTCTCTAAAGACTAGCATCACAAGTGAGAAATTTTACTTTTTCTAAAGGGCAAGAGAGAAAATCACTTTTCGGAGGTAAATATCTAAATACATGTAAAAATAACTACTTGTATAAATGTGGAAAAAATTTATATATTGTATCTAAATGTTGAAAGACAGACATGTTCTTTCACTTCAAAACTAATTTTTAAAACCTATTATCCAAATAAGTTGCTACTTATTAAAACAGCCCAAATTAGGGTGTTCTGTATATTTAAAAATAATAACTCATGGTCTAAATTGTAATAACAATCTAAGAAAAGGTAATGTGGCACAAATACATGGTATTATTATAAATTCAAAGTGAAGGTTAGAATTTATATACTTTTAAAAAATGACATGTATGTTTCGTCTAATTTTAAAGTTATTGATATGTAAAATACCTGTAATCTGATTCAGATTCATAAAATCTGAATGGGAAAAAAATCTGAAAACGGGATTCATAAAACCCCATTTCTTCCAGTGAAGAAATGAAGAGAAAATTTTAAAATAAGTACTTTTCTACAAACATATAAAATTCAAAAACTTTATAATTAGTCTTCCAGATACCACATTTTTATGTTAAATTCCCTTATGTAGCTATGAGATGGAAAGCTTTAGTTCATTACATATAATATGGAAAAAATATTCTACATGACTTAATTTTTAATTTTAAGCATCTTTCCCTATTTGGTTCTTCCATAAAAATAAATTTAGCTCATAATATTTTTTTTTTTTTTTTTTGAGACAGAGTCTCACTTTGTTGCCCAGGTTAGAGTGAGTGTCATGGCATCAGCCTAGCTCACAGCAACCTCAAACTCCTGGGCTCAAGCAATCCTACTGCCTCAGCCTCCTGAGTAGCTGGAACTACAGGCATGCACCACCATGCCCGGCTAATTTTTTCTATATATATTAGTTGGCCAATTAATTTCTTTCTATTTATAGTAGAGACGGGGTCTCCCTCTTGCTCAGGCTGGTTTCGAACTCCTGACCTTGAGCAATCCGCCCGCCTCGGCCTCCCAGAGTGCTAGGATTACAGGCGTGAGCCACCTCGCCCAGCCTAGCTCATAATATTTTTAACCAATTAGATATTATACTGTAGGAATTTATTTATGAAGCCGTAAGGTACTATACACCTACAACAAACTTCATTAATCTGCATAAATGTGAGAGCAGAAGGCATTTTCAAATGAGAGAAAAATTCTGAATCAGTTTTTAAACGAAATAAGTATTATAATTTTAAAGAAACATAGTAACTAAAGCTGAAGTGGCAACCTTAGGGATGATTTGTGATTATTCTAGTGTACTGGTTCTAAATAAGTGGTTGCTGGTAATGTATATGTGGATGCTTAAAAGAGTATAAATAAACCCTGTATCAAATATTTTGCATCATTGTTAACAAATGTTTTCCCCTTGGGTGTATAAACCTTAGCCCACTTAAATGACCATAAATGTGAATAGGCAGAGGCTGAGTCCATAATGTATTTTGAACACTGAGAATTGCTAGAAGATTTAAACTTTCATAACATCAAGTACCCTCCAACTCATTTAAATACAATTTCTTAAAACTATTTACTTGACAAGTTTTTATAGTTGGAATTATTAAAGTAGAAGGATAAAACGGCAAACATTTTTATTATTAGAGGTAAAAATTTACATTCTTAATTTTTTATGGTTTTCTATTTTAAGTTCCTAACATGTTTACAAGAGAAATATGCTGTAAGGTCACTACAACATTATGTATTATGTTATGAAATTTTGGTTGTTTAAGAGAATAAAGTACCTATAATTCAAGCCTGTGAACAACACCATCCAGATGGCATAAAGTCTCTAGGTGCTTTGGATTCTTTCCATTGTATGCTAGTTTTAAAAGTTTTATATTATGTCATTCACCAAGACTGTCTGATGTTGAACACTGAGGTGATTTTTACAAAGAAAAGTGTTAATTTTTGCTGATTCTTGTTACAAAGGCAAAACATTAATGTATTCCTTTTTATTCTAAAGGTGGAGGGTAGAAATAAAGGGGACAACAATCTTAAGTGTATATGTAATACATAAAAATTTAAAAATTAAGTGGCATGAAGGTATAGAGTGTCCTTCCTCTTAGTAATCTTTGCTAAGCTTCTTGCATTCCTCATTCAATGACACGTGGGCCCAAAAGGCACTCTGAGCTGTACCACAGGATGACCGAATGCTCCAATGTAATCGTTGCTGTGCATACCAGTAGCCTGGAGAAATCACGAGCTCAGATCAGTGTTGTCCCTTCCTTAGGATTCTTTCTGATGTATTATTTTTTAAAAAGACTCTTATGAGAATTAGGAATCAGAAATGTAAGCAACCTGATTTTATACCTATTAGACCTAAACATTAATGTGTAGCTCCAGTTTCCACTGGATTGAAAAATGGTAAACCACAGAACCACATTCACAGTATGTTCTAATTCTAATTTGTCAAGAAATCATCATCTAACCAATTATAATAATCTTTTAGTTTTAATTTTTTTAAATGGACATATAAAACAATATAAAACTTGATGTTAAAAAGTGTTCATAATAACTTGTGGGTGACTTGACATAAACTGTGATTTTTATGTTTAAGTTTCTAAAATGTAATAAAAACCTATGGAAGGCTAGTATGCATTTTACTTTATTTTTTCTTTTATTATCTTACTATATGAAAACAACTATAGCTGTCAGTTATTTTTTTTAATTGAGTACAACATAATGATTTTAGAGCCCAACTTACCATACATTGAAAATCCATGAAAAGGGATAACACCTAAAAAATAAAAAAGCGTTTATTTTCAATAAGTAGTAGTGTGGATTATTAGTAGTATTACTGATTATTAGGAAAACTTTAAAACTGAAAATAGAAAGGTTTTCTATTTTTTGCTTCAACTTTGTTCATGAATGTCAGAAAGACTTAGTAATGGTAACCAATAAAAATAAATTTTTTAATATCTTCATAAAAGCAAACAAGAGATTTTCATACATATATCCAGTTACCTTTATATTGATAATGATGAAAAATCAAAACTTTGAATATATGTATACAAAAACAGGACAAAAACATAATAAGGTAGGTCACAGAATTAAGTTTAAGGCTATAATGGCCTTAGAGGCAAATAGAATATGTCCCTCTTAAAACAACTTCACTTTATTAGAATCTAACCTGTTAAAAGATAAGTGATCTTTTCAAGGCACTTCTTGAAAACATCACCTTCCAGAGAACACCATAGGTATTTACTAAACTTACTAAAAATTAATCATGGGACATGGCTTAGAAGAAATACTGACAGGAATACAGTACTAATTCAGTATAATCTTTGGCAAGGATTATATATAAGTAAAGTATACATCCTTTTCAAAGAAATACTCAAAGCTTAACTTGGTGTATTAAACATCTTGCCACATTCTAAGTAAAAAATTAGAATTTGTACAGGTTAGATTCAAAACAGAAGTTCTGTAATATATACCATTACATAGTCAACACTGTACAAAATCATGCTGCAAACAGTATAGAAGAAAGCTGAGAAGTTTACTTTTTTGAAAATTGGCATAGAAACACTTTATTCATCTGACATGTTCAGAGGTAAAACTTAGTGTTTGCAGGGACTGTAAGAGGTCATCTAGAGTAAGTTCTAATAAATAATTAGTTCAATCTTAGTTTTTTAAAACACATCCAGCAATAGGGGATACATTAATGTCTAATGCTACCAATTATAATTTTGAATGGGTTTAATTTTGGAAGAGTTATTTCTCATAGTGACTCAAATTCTAGCTCCCTATAATCCCTAATTTATTAGTCCCAGTTCCAATCACAAAGATCACATAGACCAAGTCTAATTTATCTCTTATACATACATAAAACCTTAAAGAAATATCACCATCAGGATTTTTTTTTGCTTCAAGACTTTGTAAGTTTCTTTAATTTTTTCCTCAGATAAAGTAGTCTTGAATAGCTTCCCTATTTCATTTTCCTCTGAACAAGCTACAGTTCACTACAGTCCTTAAAGTGAGGTGACTAAAACCTCTAAGCATTTTTCTTCCCTACACACCCCACAGCTAAGATAGTGCACTTGAGCAGTTGTTTCTGGACCTAAGTAAAGGATTATATTTTTATCTCTATTATATTTCTTCCTTGGAGATACATTCCAATTGGAGATAATCCTGGATTCTCCTGTTATCTAATGTATTACCTATTCTTTCTGGTTCCACATTACTGAAAATTTCGGTAAGTATACTATCTATGTCCTCATCTAAAGCAATATAAAAATGCTCTACAAGACAGAGGACAGGAATTGTTACTAGAGACCTCCTTCCACACTGATACCAATTTATTAATCAGCACCCTACTGCAGTAAGTTAAGAGCATGGACGGGTGTCAGACAGATTTGGCTGGGTTCATCTGGCTCTGTCACTTTAAGAGCTTTGTATGCCTTTGGGTAAGTTTTTTAGCTTCTCTAAGTTTTAGTTTCCTCATCTGTAAATCAGAGATAATGCTAGAACTTATATAATATCATTAATGAGATAATGGTTATACGATAGGCTATTTATTATTAATAGACATTAATTATCATTCACAAATTAGTTCATATTTCTTTGTTGTTTGTAGAAGCAAAGTTATAAAAAATAGTATGAGGAAAATCAATCATTATTCTGAACTGGTAAGCCAGGTAAACCATCTTCAGAGTTTTGTGCAGCAGAGCTCCACAAGCTTTAATTCTCAGGATCACCCTTTTCCTTTTTTCTCTAGTCTTCTAGCACAGATTCATGTTGTGCAACTTTGGCTGACTCTTGTGTTGTCTATCAATTTTCTTATTCCTCTCTATTTGATTAGCCATTCTGTTCTTTCAAAACTTTCCTGCGCTTCAGGTGTTTAACACCTGCAGACCTCACTTCCCCCTCACTAGGAGGCTATGCCACTGACATGAGCTCTCTCATTTGCCTGCTCTTTATATTTCACCTGTTTTCTCACTTCCAGTCTCAAAGGAAGACATATCCCTTTTCTTTTTCATCCAACATCTTCACCTGTGCCCTAAATCCTGTTTCCTTCACTTTCACAGTGGTGGGCAAGTGACAGGTCTGCGGCTTATGTGCTGCCTGTGAGCTAAGAACGGCTTTTACATTTTTAAAGGATTATGTACAAAGACAACAAAGCATAATAGGGGACAGGGACTGTCAGTATCCAGCAAAACTTAAAGTATTTACTCTCTGGCCGGTTACACGAAAAGTTTGCCGTCCCTGCTTTGGGATCCTGCCCTGTGGATGATGCCCTCCACCCGCTTTGCGTGCACCCTTCAGCAAACACATACTGAGCCTCCACCCTGCCAGACACTCTTCCAAGAGATGGAGCTGCCTCTTTATTAGGGCCAAAAAAAACATAGTAAGAACAAGTGAATATATTTCAGATAGTGGTAAGTGCTACAAAGAAAAATAACAGCGGGAAGGAGCATGGGGAGGACAAGGCTTGAGGAGGGCGGAGGAGGCCTCACAGACCAAAGAGCCAGCGAAGCATGGAGGGGAGAATCGCCTGAGAAGGGTGAGGAGGAAGCCCTGGGCTTCACACAATGACTGTCAGAAACAGCGCTAGTTTACTGAGCACAGCTGGTCTTAAGGTGGGTAGTGGCAGGACACAGGCAACGGGTGGGTAAGTCTTATGACAGCTTCTCCTATTTCACTGCATCCTTTCAGCCAAGGATATTATAAATATCCTCACGTATAACAGTAATAGTAAAAATAATAATAATAAAAAGTCCATTTTCTTCCCAGCACTACTTTCCTGTCAAATCTCTAATTTCTCTTTTCCTCAAAGCCAAGCTTAATTTTTTTTTTAACTGTCTACATTCATTCCCTTTACTTCCTCATTATATACCCACAATGCTCGCAAACTGTTTTTCATCCCTATGACGCTAACTTCCAGCCGCTAAAGCCAGGGTGTCCTCTCTTTGTGTGCTGCACTTAATGGACTCATGGCAACTGAAGTTTTCTTCTCAAACTTGTGCTGACCGGGCACTGATGACACTGTGCAGATCAGGTTCCTTGTCTCTTAGAAACTTCTGTAGATCAGTTTTTAACTTTATTTTGTTTTGTTCTCTCTTCTGGCCACCTCTTAAATGAAGCTGCCCTCCAAAACTCTGTCATACTTGTTTTCTCTCTCCCTCTACCAGTATTCTCATTATTAATACATAATCCCAATTATAAAAGCCCAGTATCCTGAGTCTTCTTCTGAACTCTCTATTGCTGTAAATAACTCATTACCTTCTTAGTCATTCAGACAAGAAGTCATATTTGCTCTCTAGTTCTCCCTCAGTCCTTATACATAAATGTGATTATGTCTCTTTCCTCTCCTTTTTGTATAATGACTACTTAACTCTTCAGTCTTCATTTCTCCTCTCTACCCCACAAACACAACTCTAATCCTGCCAAATTGATTGCTACCCCTTCAGCCTTGGGGCATAGGCAATGCTCTCCTCTCCCTCCAGCCTGTCCCTGCCCCACCCCTCCAACATTTTTAACAGTACTCCTCCTAGGAAGATCTCCCCAACAGCCCCAACCTCCTCACCCCGAAGCAGTTCCTTAATCAGTACTCTCTATCGGCTGACTTGCCCTGAGTGAGGTCCTACTCCTTCTTTGTGTGCCTAGACAAATTGTGCAATTCTGGCTCTACCACTTTTTACCTGTGTACACTTAGGTAAGTTACTTAACCTGTTTCCTCATGCAAAATTGCTCTTAGACTTAGACAGGAAGGCTTGAGCTGAGGGCCCTGCTCTGGCCCTCCTCTGGCTGTACCCCTTACCAACAACCCATACCTCTCCTTTCAGACCACACCCTAGGTACCCAGGACCCTGAAATTCTCAGCCCAAAGGCTCCTAAGCCAGTTCCAGGGCCTGCAAGTTCTCTTTGGTGGAAACCACTCCTGATAGGTATGTACAGAGAGGTGGCTGAAGGGTGGCTCTTTGTGGAAGGTGTGAACAGAGCTGGGATCTGCAGGCTAGCAAGTCCATGTGCATGTCCATGGGGCCTGGTGTCCCCATGTCCCTACACCATGTCCAAGGTGTAGGGTGGAGCCATAGATGAGAAAGGGGTGGGATACCACAGGCTAGGGACGGCTAAATTCTGAATTTAAAGCTTGCCTTCCAGATTATTATGAACACATATGTGTTAAGACAAGAAAACAGAGTAGACTTTATTAGCTAGTGTATTAGTCTAATTTATAACTTTTAAATATTTAGACTTATGGTAGGTGGGCCTCCATTTGTACTCCTGCTCTGGGCCTTGCAAAAGTTAAGGACAGACCTGCCATCATCTATAGAGTGGAGACAATACCAGTGAGGGGGTGAGGATTAAATATGATGTATGTAATATGACTAGCACAATACTCAATACAAAATCAGCACTTAACAAATGTATTCTTTCCCTTACTGTCTTGTAATCATTTTTATTTTTATTCTCTCCTAGTAGAATAAATCCTTTGATTATAAAAGCTATACCTTATTTACATATCGTTATCCCCAGAGGCAAGCACAGTGCCCAAAATATAATAGGTACTCATTAAATACTTGCAGAATGAGGTATAAAGCTCTTGAGAACCCCCTCTACCATTTTTTAAACCTCCTTTCCTTCCCTACTGCTATGGAATTCAGACTGAATTCAGGCTCCGATGAACTTTTATCTATGGTTCTGCAAGAACCTCCTAATCTGTATCCCTTCTTCTAAATTCTCAGCTCTCAAATGAACTTTCTAAATGGCTCAAGTTATCTTCCAAAAATATTGATG